ATACATACAGGAATTGGACGGAGCAAGTATGCAAATTTCCCGAATGCCGTGATGTCACTTCTTGATTCATTCAATCATCCATAAGTGCTATAAAACATAACCCTTATAGAGATAGTACTCCAGTACCTTATTGAGAGAAAAAAAAAATGTCTATACTAATCTCATTCAAAATAAATGTCCCGATCTCTTTCATTCAGCTCAACCTTAACAGTTGTTGTGGTTATCTTTGTGTCGAGTCATACAGGTGTTCAAGGCTTTGAGTGCGCAGATTATCTGGCAGACATTTCAGTTGCTTCGAATATAGAGCATTTATTATAAAGATAAATGACTGACTGACTTTCTACCCCACCAGGACATCCCACAAGCGATTTACACCCAATGACACAATGTCCCACCATGTGGGTTAGGATCACCGTTGAGAGGTCCCAGAAACCGTGTTCAGCTAGACTGTCTTGCATTAAAGATTTTCCATTGGCTTTCGCTATCAACCCCCAGGCACTTCTCTTTCCTCTCACCACCGAACCAGCTGTATAGAATCAGATCACTGCTCTCCAGCATGCATACTTGTCTCATTGTGTCTTCTGCTTGAGCCATCCATGATTTTCCCATTTTCAGCCTCTGGCCCTTACCTGCAGCCACAGCTTTAGAAAGAGGGTGTTCTTTGTCTGTAGGTACTCTGAGGTATGACTTAGCCTGCAGCACCGTTAGTCTATCTGCAATAGTCAGCAATGCAAGGATGTATCGCATGCACACAATCGGGGTGTCTCTTGTACAACCCAGGATCACCCGCATAGCTTCATTTTGTATGCGCTCCAGTTTCTCTAGCTGACTCTTCGAGACAACGAGTAACCACGATCCATAATTAATTACTGAGATGATAAGTGCTGGTAAAGTGTAAACAGTATTCTCTGCTCCATGCCCATCGCTGCTATAATCTTTAAGACCCCTTTGAGCCCTTGTCACCACTCCCTCTATGTGATCCTTGAAAGACAAACTTCTGTCAAAGGTAATTCCCAGGTATAGCAGTCTGCTGTCTCTTTTGATGTCCCTGCCATTTATTTTGAGGCTTGGAACATCAGCTCTAACAATCCTGTTGTCCAAAGAACACAACAGGACGGTTGCCTTTTCTGGGCTAATTGATTACGACCACTCCCCTTCCTATATACGAGAACGTCATCTGCAAATGTCAATATTCTGCCGACTCCGAGTGTTTCCAGGTCAGAAATCTTGCTCGTAAAAACGTTAAAAAGTACAAGTGAAATTGCAGATTCCTGTGGTAGTCCTGGAGCTATAATACATGGTTCAGAGGCCCATGAACCCAGGCGGAGAGCTACCCGACGAATATACAAAACAGCTACTATCCAGTTCACCAACCAAAGACAGACTCCCTTCTCCAAAAGTGCCTTCATCATGATACTGTACCTAACTCTGTTGTAAGCATCTTCTAAATCAAGTGCCGCTGAAACGGTTTCCTGTCTGTTCAGGAAACCCTCGAAGGCATCAAACGCAAAAGTGGCTGCATTTGACCATGTGTCCCCGGTAACTTCCTAAACCTCGTGGAAGGAGATTTCTCTGTTCCAAAAATTCTTGTAGCTTACCCGCCACTATCTTCTCCAGCACTTTACCAAAGGTGTTTTGCAGGGTTATGATCCTAAAGCCATCGAGTATTGAATGATCCTTGCCAGGCTTAGGAAGTGGAATCAGGTAGCTGTGCATCCACTCTTGTGGGACTGAAGCTGTCCTAATGCTCTGATTAAAACAAGCAGTCATCTCCACCAGGTCTGCATCGCTCATGTCTTTCATGTGGGAATATTTAACCTGGTCAGGTCCGGGTGCAGTGTCTTTCGCCTGTTTCAAAACATGTTTCACATCTTGCACCTGTATGATGTCTTCATAATGTTTGTTCTTTAAGATGGCTGCCAGATCTCTAACTGTATCTTTGATTTGATTCAAGAACCGACATCACAGCACTCGGGGCACTCCCATAAGCGCCCCGTCCCCATCTTCAGCAGCCAGCGAAGAGTTCCGATACTATTGGTGCCAGTAGCATTCTGATTAAACGTCCGTCTTGCCTTTCCTCTGAGCCTTGAGCATCTGCCAGAACCTCTCGTCACTCCCAAATGCATCAATCTAACCAGACTGTGGTGATCAATCTGCTCCCCGGAGCTGTACAAGCTCTCCTACAAGGCACTAACCACATCTGGACTTCCGGTTAAAATGGACGCTAGACAGCGGCGCTGTTCGAAGCAGAGGCAAATATTTTGCTTCTGCCGGACGGTGGCCGAAGTATTTTTGCTCCATTTTTAGACTGGATATAGTTTCGTCGCCCAGCTTCTGAGTTGAATGCATGGCGTGACCCTGTGAGCTGCGGATTGCATTTGGAATGTTTTTTCGACTGTGACAAACGTGGTGGTGTGAATTGTCGATTCAGAAAATGGCGTGATGCCTGTCGTGCAATGTTGGCGATGTGATTACAATTGATCGCGTGGGTAGCTGCTGATCTGTTGGCGACAAGTTCAGCTATCATCAATGATGAACTACATTTCTAATGTTGGACTGTTTGTGTTAGCACTTCGGATGGCTACCGTATGCTTTAATGCGAGTGTATGTTAGATATGCTGAGACAGCAGTCTGTCAATCTTTCCACAAGGGACTGTGATAAGCATTCTGAGTGTTTTTCGTTGGCACAGAAGTGGAGCAAAGATGGGGCGACCCATTTGCTATGAAGCTGAAACTAAGACAACCAGACTACCAGACTAACCACATCTGCCCTATCATGCATCAGTATTCCACCAAGCTGTGCAGAGCCAGCCAGTCCGTCTGCCTGTTCATTACCCAACACACCAGCATACCTGGTGAAAAAAATCCAGACAATACTCCTCCCCCGTGTCCTCTGCAGCGAGGCATGCCACTCTACACGAAGCATGCCTGTCCTGATCGTCCTCAGCATGCTTTCTGAGTCAGTTACAATAACAATGTGTGTGTGTCATGTTCTCTAGCCAGCGGAAAGCCACAGTGACCGCCTCCACCTCCATTCTTAAGCTGGATGTTGTGGTATCATATGCTAGGGTCTCCTGCACCAAACGTCGACCATTAACTTTTGCTAAGAAACCCCAAGCACTTCTTTTGCCCCTTGACACTGAACCGTCTGTGTAAATGATCAAATCTTCTGAGCGAGCATTATCTTGAATTAATTGCTGAATTTCCACCTATGTGGCACCTGCTGGCCAGTCTCTGCATTCCCGGCTCAGTGTGAATATGACCCTACACAAATCTGACTGTTCAGGTGGCACTTTGACCCACTCGCCTAATGTTCTCAAGGATGCAAACCTGTCTGATTGTATCTTCTGCCTGAGTCATCCATGACTTCCCTCTTATCTTAACTGCATCCAGAGCTTCGTGCAAAGGATGGTCTGTGTCTGCAGCTACCCTGAGATATGACTTCACCTGCAGCATCTTGTGCCTTTCTGCAACAGTCGGCAAACCAAGAATGTATCACATACACACCACTGGGGTGTCTCTGGTGCAACCCAGAATGACCCGCATTGCTGCGTTCTGTATGCGCTCTAGTCTGTTCATCTGGCTCTTTGAGACCGTAAGCATTCCAAGTCTATAATCAACCACTGACAGGATCAGGTGCTGATATAGTGTGAAAAGCATTCTCTACTCTATGTCAATTGCAGCCATAGTCTTAAGTGCACCAAGTCCTTTATGGCATCTTGTCATAACACTCTCCACATGGTCCTTAAAGGACAGGCTCTTGTCAAATGTAATTCCCAGATACTTCAGTTTGCTCTCTCTGTTGATGTTTCTACCATCTATCGTGAGACTTGGGACATTAGCTTTAACGATCCTGTTGTCCAGAGAACACCACAAAACAGACCCCTTTTCCGGGTGGACGACAGCCCTCATTTCTGTACACCACTTCTGTACAGTCACTTTGTCCACTGTCGCTTGTAGCTCTCGGGTTGTTTGTTCCCCCTCTTCCCCTGCCTATATGCATGCATATCATCCGCAAAAGTCAGTATCCTTCCAACTCCTTGTGCTTATAGGCTTGCAATCTTGCTCGTATCCACGTTAAAGAGCACAGGCGAGATAGCGGATCCCTGTGGCAGTCCTGGGGCCAAACTGTATGGTTCTGAGGTCCATGAACCCAGTCGAAGAGCAACCTGACGTGAATACAGGACAGCTGCAATCCAATTCACCATACTAACCTCCTTCCCCTTCAGTGCAGTCAATCCCCTGTGTGGGTTCCGGGGCCCCATTGTGGGGAAAACAAGAATGGACCCACTGCCTCCCCAAAAGCATGTCGTAAGAGTCGACTAATTGGGGAGCTTCCTTTGAGGTCGGAGTGCATCTGCCGGAAAGTCAATGAACCAACAGTCTGTATTCAAGAGAATGAGATCTGTAAAACTGATGCACACGCAACACTCAGGTTCTGGAGCAGGACTGCAGTTCAGTACTGGACGAGCAACCAGAACTTTCCGCCAGAGTATACAGCTGGTGAACGCGAAGAAGAAGAAGAAGAAGTGCAGTCAACAAGATGTCGTATTTTACTCTGTTATAAGCATCCTCCAGATCCAACCCTACCGCCACAGTTTCCTGTCTGTTCTGGAACCCTTCATAGACGTCAAAGCAAAAGTAGCCGCATTTGCCCATGTGTCCTTTCCTGGCCTGTAGCTTCCCAGACCTCTTTGGAGAAGCTTTTCCCTTTCCAAAAATTCTTGCAGCTTTAGGAGCTATTTGGAAGGAGATCAAAGCACCTATGGATATCCGGAGAAATGTAATAGTCCCCACTAATCACGTTAACGACTATGAAATGATTGAACACAAACACTTACAAACACTTTATCTTCTGTTATTCTGTTTGCAAGAGTTGTTTCTTGGCACTGTTTCATCTGCTGCTTATCACCATATATAATTTACTAAAACTGCACCCTTCTTACAAATATTAACACAATAATTATCATATCATTTCTACTCACCTGAATTTACCATATTTAGATTTTTTCTGAAATAAAATTTGAGCAGTATTAAGAGCATATTTATAATGAAATAATTTTCAGCAAGGATAATACAATGCGTCTCCATTTGAATAAGTTTTTGTATAGCAGACGAAAATAGGACTGAAGTTGATCGTTGTTACCCACACCCACCGCTACACGCTTTAAATTTGCAATTATTCTGAGTTCATGTTCTAAAATAAATAAAACGTCATAACAAATGTTTGTGCAATGCATAACAAACAATAAAATTGCAAATAAGTAAGAAAATAATTAGAATGTTGTTTAAATTTTTTTTTAAATATATCAAATGCGGCTGTTACTTTCAAAAACACATTGCTCTCGATTTCCACTTCAAGATGTGGAGTCATACACCTATTTCAGCAGTGATGTACATTCAGATGGGGGATCAGATGGAGATATTAAAATACGAATACAAAAGGCAAGAGAAGCTTTCTAGTACTGAGAAAATTGTGACCATCAAAATAATGCAAAACTTAAAATTGTAAATTCTTCTTCTTTTCCTTCATCTTCGCGTTCACCAGTTGTAAATTCTGGCGGGAAGTTCTGGTTGTTCGTCGACTCCTGGACTCTAGCTGTTCCATAAACTGAGTGTTGTGTGCACATCCGTTTCGCAGGTCTGACTCATTTGTATGCAGACTGTTAGTTCCTTGCCTCTCAGGCAGATGTACTCCAACTTCGAAGAAAGCTCCCGATTAGTCAACTCTTACGACATGCTTTTGGACAAGCAGTGGGTCTATTCTTGTTTCCCCCCCCCCCCTATAATGGGCCCCAGAACGCACACAGAGAAGATTCTAATATCAACTCAATACTGCTGTATGAAGCAGAAACATGGAGAGCAACTAAATCACAAATGCTGAGCTTTAGGAGAGGACTAAACAAGTTCCAGTGGACCAAGAGGCAAAGAACAGACTTTGATGTTGGACAGGACAAAGGCTAAGAAAACCTGAGAACAATATAACTAGAATGTCTTTGCACTGGAATCCACAGAAGCATAGAAATAAAGGTAGACCAAATACACATGGGGAGGGAAGTTGAAAAATCGGGGGAGGACATGGAGTGAACTTCATTTAATAGCGAAGGAATGAACTCCCTGGCATAGGTCTGTTAAGGGCCTACATTCCATTGGAGGATATAAGGTAGAAGAAGAGGAAGAAGTAAGAAGAATACTGCCAATAACCCCATGCGTTTCACAAGATTATATATACCCACCAACCCCTTCCCCCCTCTTTTTTAAATAGTTTGTTTGGTAATATTTTTCTCTCCAAATAAATGTTTGTTTATCATTGTTTCTTATAACTGTGCTAAAGTAGTGATCACAAGTTGGCAATATCTGGTCTCATTAAATTAAAGGGCTCTCCTCCGAATACCGGGCACTAAAGATGGCGGCTGTGCGAGCGGCGTGGGACCCGTGGCAGTGGCTGTAGTCGCCGGAAAACCGCAAATTAAGTCACGTGACTGAGGCTCGAAAGGATATTTTGCGGCCGCCATATTTAGTGCCCGTTATTCGGAGGATAGCCGATTAAAGTTTTAATTTGCTTGTAAAACTAAACATTTCAGATATAAAAAAAAAGTGGCGCGGTGATTTCGGTCACAGGCATGAGGCAAAGTTAAGTCTGATGTGAGGTGTATAAGGAGATACTCCGTACCCACTCGGGCGCCAGTCCTTCACTGTATTGGTTTTACGGAACCTCATGCAAGACTCCTGCTGCACGTCCACTTCGTGCGCCACGGATAATGTCTCAAATGAGCATTAACAGAGTTGGCAGGGGATCTCGGAGCTGGCGGCCCCTAGAGGTGTAGTGTCTTTTCTGGCTCCCACCAGCCTGCCCCCAAACGCATGGGTGAAAAGCCTAACAAAACTCAAGGATTGCTTGCTAAATGTACCATCAAATGACAACTCTTGGTTAAAATCCGGGAGCGAATGGAAAACTGTGCTGCTGAGACTCAACCCTGACCGAGAGATTTACCCGCAGCCAAGACGAGTAACATCTCTTGTGGGTTACTTTCCGCAGCAAGATCCTACCTACGTACATCCTCAATCCTCAGTGTCGTCGTCACCGCGCTGAGGTACACCACGGCAGCAACTTTTCATATGCTGGCTTGGAAATAATGTCCGACAAAGTTATACCCCACAGCACACATGCAAGCTTAAAGTCCGACGATCATAATTCGTACCGATTAGGAAAATGTCCGAATGTCCGTATCCACTGGTCCAACTCGCCCGAGTGTTGGGACCAAACAGGTGAAGCCACGCCTGACGCATTTTGCTTCCCCATTCTGTCGTGCTAAGGGCACAGCTGAAACAACGTTAAAGGTGTCTAACGTAAGATGAAAAAGAATGTACCTATTTGTGTGGCCACAAACGTCCTAGACCTGCGGGCTGCTCCCCGCTGATCTCCGGAGAGCGCAGCCTCGTAGCGCGGGAAGCTCAATACACGGTTGTGAGGTTAAGCAGTCATGGGCAGGACGTGACGATTCCTTGGGTAAGCCCAGAACCAGAGCATCATGTGTCGGCTCTGCATTTATGGAAGCCTCCTTGGATGGCGGGGAATGCCCATGATCTGCCCCTGCCTTCCCTTGAGGGCTGACAATTCTACATAGAGCTGCCTTAAGGACGACATTCCGGGGGCCACACCTGTTAATGGTCAAAGAGGACACCACACAAATGAGGCAACATCTCGACCCACACAAAACAATGGCCACAGTCAACCTAGAAATAGGCTTGACGTCTTCCCCCGAAGTCGGAGTACATCTGCCGGAGAGGCGGGGAACGAGAACTGCGAACAAATAAGCCAGTAAAACGGATGTACACGCAAAACTCAGGTCAAGGTAAAAGCCAAAAGTCCATTTTGGACGAACAACCGCGACTTACCGCCGGAATCCACAGCCGGTGAACAAGAAGAAGAAGAAGAAGATATAAAGAAATACCAACTAACCTGATCTTACTGGTATCTTGCTGATTTTTCCTTTGCCAGTTTGGTCTTCAGCCAAATCTTTCTGTTGTTTGTCTTCTTCCCTTGGGTTTCCATCACTCCCTTCCTGTTCTACTGACGAGGTTTCTGTAACAGACTGCCGTGTCTGTTGTTCTGTAGCTTCCTCAGCTAGTACTGCTCTGACTTCTTGAGCAGTTGATGATGGCACAGTCTCATCAAGGTCATTTGCATCACCTGAAGGTTTTAACCTTTTGCTAGCTGAGACAGGAGTCACACTTTCAGGCTGTTTCAGAGAAGCAGAATCTGCCTCTGCTTCTACTGCACTCTCAGTTGCCTTACTTTTGTCAGTATCAATAATAGTATCCTCATCACAGATTTTGTCAGTTACCGGGTTTTCTGAGGATTTCGTCATAACTGACATTGTTACTGTTTCTTGCTTGTCCCGGTCAGATTCATTTACGACACATTCTGAAACAATATCCTCTTTGGACCTTGTAATTATGTCAGCAACAACAGATGGTGTGTCTGACCCTGTACTGTCTAAAAGCTTCTCTGCTTCAGTGACCGTGGAAGTCTCATCTGCGGTCTTCTGAAGTGTCTGCAGACAGGAACTTGTTTCTTTGGGAATTCCAATTTCTGAAACAAGAAGCTCCTCTTTGGATGTTACACACTGATCATCAATAACAGCAGGATCCAGTTTACCCTCATTATCAGCTACTGTGTTGGCAGTGACATAATTGCTGTCATGAGTATCTTTGTGAATATCCACTGGGGCGTCAACTGATGTACTGTCTTTATAGGAACTCTCTCGTGTGGTAAATTTGGGGCTTGGTTTCGGGCTCACTTTAGGTCCTGTTTTTGGCTTAACAGTATGGTTTTGTTTCGGTGATGAGGCTACGTTTACTGACACAGATTCTGTTTGGATCTCAGAAAAGATAATGGCCTGTGAGTTACTGCTTATTATGTTTTCAGACACACTGAAATCACCAGCATAAGGCTCAAAAGTCAAGTCACTAACAGAGTTTGCCCTGTGATCTTTTGCGTCATATTCTGTTGTGCTAGTTTTATCTTCTGTCTGTGGACTATCTGATGTCTCTACACCTTCTGACTGGTCAGACATGTGCAGGGCAGCTAAAGCCTGCTCAATATCATCAAGCATGGAAGAACGGGTATCTCGTGGGGATTTTGTCTTGTCTTCTGAATGTAAGCGCAACACTGAAGTGTCTGCATTGTCATAAGATACAATGTTCTCTTTGTCAGAAATATCTTCATTTTTGAAATCTTCTTCATTGAGTTCCTGAAAATAAAGAACAGATAATTAAAAATATGCCTTCTTCGGCTTAATTTAAGGCTTTCTGCCTTGCAAACATCTCTGAGTTAATGAGGGGGAAAAAAGATAAATAATCTATTAAAAACCGTCTCTGTTAGTTTATCTTCAATTTTTCTGCCTCCTACATATCTTGAGGTTTCTGAGGAAAAACATGAATGATTAATTAGAAACCGACAACACACTCGGACATTTCCACAAGTGCCCCATCCTAATCTTCAGCCACAAGCGCAGAGTTTTAATCATGATGGCATAGTAAGAGTCTGATTGTATACCCATCTAGCCTTTTCTCTGAGTGTTGAGTGTCAGTTAGATCCCTTGGTTGTATACCCATCTAGCCTTTCCTCTAAGTGTTGAGTGTCGGTTAGATCCCTTGGTTGTATACCCATCTAGCCTTTCCTCTGAGTGTTGAGTGTCAGTTAGATCCCTTGGTTGTATACCCATCTAGCCTTTCCTCTGAGTGTTGAGTGTCAGTTAGATCCCTTGGTTGTATACCCATCTAGCCTTTCCTCTGAGTGTTGAGTGTCAGTTACATCCCTTGGTTGTATACCCATCTAGCCTTTCCTCTGAGTGTTGAGTGTCAGTTACATCCCTTGGTTGTATACCCATCTAGCCTTTCCTCTGAGTGTTGAGTGTCAGTTACATCCCTTGGTTGTATACCCATCTAGCCTTTCCTCTGAGTGTTGAGTGTCAGTTACATCCCTTGGTTGTATACCTATCTAGCCTTTCCTCTGAGTGTTGAGTGTCAGTTAGATCCCTTGGTTGTATACCCATCTAGCCTTTCCTCTGAGTGTTGAGTGTCAGTAAGATCCCTTGGTTGTATACCCATCTAGCCTTTCCTCTGAGTGTTGAGTGTCAGTTAGATCCCTTGGTTGTATACCCATCTAGCCTTTCCTCTGAGTGTAGAGTATCAGTTAGATCCCTTGGTAACTTCTCATAGCAGCATTCCCATGAGATAGTGATGTTCTAGCTGTGCCTCTGCACTATTCAACCGCCCCCAAAGGATCCTTACAACATTTAGCTTGTCATGCATCATTTCAACCCCAAGTAGTGCAGACCCAGCCAGTCTATCTGTCTGTTCATTTCACAACACACTGGTATGACCTCGAGAAAATATCAAAAGATACACGCATCCTAAATACATACTACTGATATGTGTGGCAGGAAAGTGCACGAGACAGGGTGAGGGAACGAATCTATTTCAGCGTGCTGCTCTGGCAACAGCATTCTGTAAATGACCCGATACATGATAATGATATTGTTAACCTCTTAAATTCCAGACAGTGTATACTTACAGTGAAGATGTCTGAAGAGTCATTGCCATTCTTCACCAGTCTGGGTACCCTGGTTTGCCTTGCTCTGTGTTTCGGAGGTGGAGGTTTGCGATACTAAATTTAATATAAACAAAAGTAAACTATGTGAGTGACATGTGTCCCAACTCTTTCCATTTAGTCATCTAAAATGTTTGTGGGTCTGTAAATATATTATCTATCCACAGCTTTCTTGGTCTGCCTCGTGGTCTATTCCCATTTAACCCATACATCAAAAAACTTTCTCTCATTAGTTTTGTCATAGACATTTGTTATTTTACTTTTTTTTCAGACCCAGAGAAATATTACTTTAAACCGTTGTTTCTCAGGCAGTTGTTACTTTAGTCTAATGAAAGTTCCTCATGTGGAACCCACTCCTAAGAAGCATGTTATAAATGGCAACTAATTAAAGACTTGAAGACATTGGATGTGTTGGGTCAAAAGGCGCATATATACAGCAATCCAGATGTAAACCACAACACAACATGACAACTGCCCTTTTAAGGTTGAACCAAGAAGAAGAAGAAGAGTAAAGGTTTTGGGAAAGTAGAGATCATGAGAAACTAGAGAAGTTATCTGCAGCACTGATCTGTCTAGTCTGTCTTAAACCTCATTTCGCGTTCATCAGCTGTACGTGAACTTGAGTTTTAAGTGCAAATCCATTTTACATATTTGATTTATGTGCAGACTGTTGGTTCCTAGTCTCTCAGGCGGATGCACTACGACTTTGAAGGAAACGCCGGTAATTAGTCGCCTCCTACGACATGCTTATTAGGGGGGACAATGGGTCTATTCTTTGCTCACCACAATGGAGCGCACATGGGAAGTCCAAACAAATAAACAGGATTGCACTTCCTTTACAGAAGATCACAGACCAGTCTCAATACTTCTCGGCTGTTTGTAAGTTTTTCAAGAGTAATTATGCGTTCAGTAATTTGCCACGGTCCTCAGAGTAATCAGTATTCTTACCTTTGTCAAAATCAATGTAAAGCAGCTGTTATTAATATCACCCGCTGTGGCGGGTAACTTCGCTTTACACTAGCGAATGCACTATGTGCACTTTACAGAGGGAACTACAAACAGTGAAACATCATACGGTCTTATAGTAACCCCAGCCTTGCTGGTTAAATGAGAGGATTCTGGGTTTGCCCACATCTATTCCCTACTGTTATTAAATTGTATATTTAAATGTATTAAAGTTATACTAGCTTTTGTTCACTGACACAATTACAGTTAAAATGAAACTTCAGAAAACTGTAAGAACATTAAAACTACATTTATTTTGAAAATTCAAATGATAATTAAATAAAAGGCTGTGGATAAAATTATCCTGTTATATAAGGTAAGTGGTCAACTGTCCACTTAGCTGTAGCTTAGGTTTATGTTGTCAGCTTCTGACTAAGCTTTGGAAACACATCAGGCAGGCCGAATCTTCCAGTCCAGTCCGGACAATCGGGTATCTGCAGCTAAGCTTAGGATCTACTTCTGGACTACCATCTGGAATACCATCTGGAACTAGAACAATAGAACAGTCCTTATACCAACAGTCAGGAAGGTTCTAACTGGAGACAACAATACCTCCAGTCTTTAAACTGTTACACTACACACATATATATGGAGTAGGATAGTAACAGGTGTTCACATTCTACTGGCATAGAATGGGAATGTATACAGAACATGGTCCATAATCCTGATGGGGAAATATTTAGGAAACCAGTTTCATGAAAGCTCTCAAGAACAAGAGTTTACATCACACAAAAAGAAAGGACATTCCTCAGTGTAAATTGTTCTGATGTCTGCACACTAGTACTCCTTTAAAGGGTTAACATGCTTACACACACAGACATACACAGTCATATTTCACAATATTCTTATTTTAACCACATGGGTTCACATCACAATGAATGAGAAACAGGGATTGAGTTTACCAAGACCAGGAACTCATAACAGGTGCTTTGCACTGTTTGAAAACAAATGGGATTGACATATCTCCATCAATATACTGGGTGATGAGATAGATGTCAAAATACAATCATAGATGACAATGGGCTTTCCATCTGTCACAGTATTAACATAAAATATACAACACTCACTCCAGTTTAAATCTAAATCCACACATGTGCTAATCTTATTCAGCAGAGTTTAGAAGTGGTGAGGGGTGAAATATAATTATTACAATTGTAAGGCCACCTGCTGTAGAACTGAAATGTATTCCTAGTAATAGGGAAATATATTTACAACAATAATAATTACAAGCATGGGCCATACATCTCTTCTTCTCTGACAGTGTGAATATTAAATTCAGCCTCACTGTGTTATTCACTTTTCAAGCTCTTAAACCATTCTCAGAATTATCTGGACTAAATCTAATTTAAAGCAAGACAGTGATTTATTAAGCTAATATCACCATGAGGTAAAATCAACTTAGAAGGGATTAGGTATAATGAATATACACTTCATTCCTATTTTTAATTGTCTAAGCTGGAAACAGGAACTGGCTGAGATTTCACATGAGGACATAATTATCACTTAATTAATATAAGTATAATTATTAAAAATACCAATGCACGTTTCTAGTAGCAAATAAACAGTAATTCAATCATCAAATCGATAATATGTTTGCATACATGTACATACTAGATTATAAACGTGGTTAGTGAGGATAAAGAAATTTATCATAGTTTTTTGAGCCATGTGGGCATTAAATTTCAGAATTTAACCTGTGGAATTAATTCAGAGGAATAAGCAGCAATACATCAAATTAAACTTATTCTTTTAACTCACCCCTGGCAGGGAATTCAAACAGAAAATTGGACCACAGGCAGACTAACAACTTTAGGTCTGAACCGGTCAATTTCTGAATTGAAAAGGGAACAGGAAGTCAGGAGGAAGTAACTCTTCAGTCCCCCTTGCCCTACTCTTCGCCTATATTACCTTTCAACTCTTTAATTATAATTTTGCTACAATAAAGCATTATGAAAAAGGTAAGGAAATTTCTTAATTAATCCAGTGTTATTATGCTAATTAAAAGCAATAGGAAAATGTTTAGAACTTTGGTAATAATATTATCTAAACAAAGCACTTTTTAAAAGGACAGAAACAGCTGTCCAGACCAGCTCGTCACACCCGCAGCCTAATCAAACTTGGTGTGTCAGAATTATGAAACTGCGGTTATAAGCCCTATGAAACAGACGCCGACAAATATGGGGGAGGAGGACCCTATGTGGTTCCCGTGGCCCCATTCTGGGCAGAAAAGAATAGATGCCCTGGCCCTTAACAAGCTTATCGTAACAGAGGACAAAGAATGGGTGTGTCAATTCAAAGTGCATCTGCCTGCGAGGTAAGCACTAACAGTCTGCAAACGAATAAGCCAGATCTATAAAGCGCATATGCAAGCCAAACTCAAGTTCTGGAACAAGACTGAAGTCCAGATATGGATCATAAACGAGAACTTTCCGCCTGATTACAAGGAAACTAAGAACAGAATAAGAAGAGTACGCGGCAAATACAACGATGGGGACATGGAGTGAGCCGCACATAACGGGAAAGGACACAGCAACTTAGAGCAAGTTGGTTGAGCCAAACAGCTCTCTGCCAGTGCCTTCGTGCTGAACAGACCCCAGAACATGTCCTGCAAGACTGTCCTCTCCTGGCGGAGCTGCGGAGCGACATATGGCAACACCCAGTAGAACTGACAACTAAGCTTTGAGGAAACCTAAGAGACCTTGAAAAGACATCCCAGTTTATGACTCACAGTGGATTATGCGCATGACCAGAGATCGCCGAAGAAGAAGGAGTTGGTTGAGGGCTATGCGCCATCTGGAGGTTAGAGACAGCAGAAGACTTACTGAGTGAAGGTGGATCTAAAATATGGGATTAGCAATATACAATAAACACACTTCAACGATGTGTAATTGAATTCGATGTTTTTATTTACCGTTTTATCATTTACGTTATGCAGTATACCATTTAAATCTGGGATTTTTTCATGTGGATTTCTAGTAACTTCCCCTGGTCTCTGGTTAGTAAGATCGGACGCCCGTGTATATTCTTAAGCATCTAAAAAAAAAATCACTTAGTAGTCGGAAATCGAAAAGAGTAGCCTAAAGGCGCTGATCGGGCAAAATTGTGAGTTCAAAATCTACCCAAAGAATTTCAGGATCCTCGCCGGTGCAACGGAGTTCGTGCACTGCGTTGAATCTTTAGACTCATTCTCGAGTTAAAGTAGAACGAAGCACTCGTGTGTTACACCCGTGTGCCATGATGTTGATTCTTCGAATAAACATCTTCATCATCATCATCATGTGCCTTGCCGACTGGCTTGGGCGATCACGCCTCTCCACAATCTGCGATCTGCAACTGCGTGCATCGGTTCGTGTGTTGACACTCCTCCATGATGACAAAAGACTGCCAAGAATCCTATCCCACTGCTTTCCTCTGTCTCTTTTGTTTCCACATGTTCGATTTTCCCTCTTCTCATAACATGACCTTTAACGTCGTTATCTGAATTCGATCGTTTTAAAGGCATGATTTACTAGGATAAATACAGCGGATAAAGATAAACTATTTAATTTACACACAGTCCATCGTCATCGTTGTTATCAGCATCACTCTTTTTTGCTGTTTATATGTCACAGAGAGCTCGCAATCCATTATTTTATTATGTTCTTCTTCTTCTTCTTCTTCTTCTTCTTCTTCTTCTTCTTCTTCTTCTTCTTCTTCTTCTTCTTCTTCTTCTTCTTCTTCTTCTTCTTCTTCTTCTTCGCGTTTACCAGCTGTAAACTCTGGCGGAAAGTTTTGGTTATTCATCAACTTCGGGACTGCAGTCCTGTTCCAGACCCTGAGTGTTGCGTGTGCATCCGTTTTACAGATCTGACTCATTTGTATGCAGACTGCTGGTTCCTTACCTTTCAGGCAGATACACTCCGACTTCGAAGGAAGCTTCCAATTAGTCGACTTATGCTTTTGGCTAGGCAGTGGGTCTATTCTTGTTTTCCCTATAATAGGGCCCCGGAACCCACACAGGGGGTACGAGTGGCTCTGAATTTGGGCCATATCAGTTTGGAGTTCCAGCTCATAGTCATAGTTTTGACGTTTTTAAACTGCTGCTGCTATTCCGGCTATTGGACATGTCAATGCTCCCTAGAGAAGAGATGAACCCCTTAGTGAACAGTCGTTTGCAGCCACATCCCATTTATTGTAACAGGCTCAAGGCCAAACTAATTAATCTCAAGGTGATTGTTTCTATGGAAGACAACATGAGTCAATTTTAAAAAATTAGTCATACCGATCTCAAGATTTCTGTTTCTCTCTGAACGGCAGAAAAATCTCCAAGGTCCTCATTTGAATCTGAATAAGCAGTTACGCTGAGCAGTGGAAGCTTCGTCTCGCCGTTTGTAGGACTGTAACATAACATAACGACCAGGAGGAAATACCATCAAAACATTATGTTTATATAATGTTAAGTTAGTTGCAAATTCTTTACAGTAAGTTGCAGAACCAACCCCAGCATTTTTTGTGTGTGGCTGTTTTGATTTTTCTGGACACATTGCATGTCCAGTAGTTTGCCGTTGCATCTGCAAGGTCAACTCTTGGTACCACTGTCGAAACTAACGCAAGACAAATCGTCCGCAGCTGGGATCGAACCTGGCATCCCGGTATTACAAAGCGCGTTTGCAACAGCTAAGCCACAGACGCTTACCACTATAAGAAGTGGCAGGGAAATATATCCTAAACTTACTGATGTTCTGTTTCTTCAACATTTGCCAGCGGAGAACTCCGGTGGAAAGTCCTGGCTGTTCGTCCATGTCTTTGCTTTAGTCTTGTTCCAGAGCTTTAAGTGTTATGTGCACATCTGGTTACAGTGGCTCATTTGTGTGCAGACTGTGGGTTCCTCGCCTCTCAGGTAGATGTGAAGAATACTTAAATCCTGTCTACGTTGGTTAAACCTTGGCAGGGAACCTGTTTCTAGAGTGATAATAAAGACATGTACAGAGATGTACAGAGGCCTTGACCACTTTGAGTCCTGTTCCTATGAATGAATTCTTCTTCCTCTTTCGTTCGCCTGAAATAAGTTGTCTATATCAGCAGTTTTGTCTCTTGTATACATTGCGCTGTCGTTGTTAGTTCATTCAGTGTTCCACTGAGTTTACGTTCCACTGTTGTTCTTTCTGGCCAAAAGGTTTGCCTTAATGTGTAAAATTCGGTGCAGTCCTGGAGTACATGCTCTGCTGTCTGGGGCACCTTTCCACAGGTGCACGTGGCTGATACATCTATCTTGAATTTTGTGTACATGTGGTTACGTAATCGGTTGTGCCCTGTTCTGAGGCGGAGGATAATGACTTGTTCTAGTCTGTCCATAATAAAATAGTCGTATTGTGCTGGGGCTGGTGGTTTCCTGATCGATTTAATGATTCTTTTCTTTTGGTGGTATGTGACTGGTACATACGGCTGCACTTTTGTTACACCTTTCCCTGCCAGAATATATAAATCAAGAAGTGAAATCCCTGCAGTCGGAAAATTCCCACACGCATGATTCTAGTTTCAATTTTTCCGAGAGAAAGCTACCGTTACCGCCTCCACCTCCATTCTCATACTGGATGTAATGTAGTGATGCTTTACGCGAGGCTCTGTTTTCAAACAGTATCCATTCATGATCATCATCATCCCGTAATACTGCGTGTCGTTGGGTCACCAGTTTCTGGTGCAAAAAACAGCCAACAGAAACTGGTATGTAGTTATTCTACGACACCGTGATCCATGCTTCACCATGTGTTATTTTGTCAGTAATATAAACCCTGGTCCGAATGCACCACAACCACAGGAAAATCGGTTAAGGGGGTCAGTGGGATGTCAATGATTTTGGTAGGGTTCTGGATGGTCAGTGGGATGTCAGTGATTTTGGTAGGGTTCTGAATGGTCAGTGGTGGTAGTCAGGGTAGACTGTGCTAGACTTTTATGGAAGAAATTATGCAAATCAAGCAGGTCAAGTTGGGGGGGGGGGGGGCAATGAGGTGGTTGAACAATTATATAGTAAATTACCCCCCCCCCTCCTCCCCCACCTCCATGTCCTACCCCACAGCTGGAACCTTACATGTCTTTACCTAGTGAGACCTTCACTGAAAGAAAGAGGAAAATATCCCCCCCCCCCCCCTTTTTTTTTTTTTTTTTCCCTTACAATACCGCGGGAGCTGGAACCTTAAATGTCTTTGCATACTGAGACCACTAATTGGAACATAGAGGTCAATACTCCCCCCCCCCCCCCCCCCGAGCTGGAACCTTAAATGTCTTTATACAGTTGGAACCTTAAACTGACTTTATACAGGAAAATACTCAACCTCCTGGAGTTGGAACCCTAACTAGCTTTATATAGTGTGTGCATTGTTTTGTCCAGCAGTGCAAGTCTTCTCTCTCTGTCTGTCTCTCTCTCTCTCTCTGCCTGTCTGTCTGTCTGTCTCTCTCTCTCTCTCTCATCACACATATACACACACCAAACAAAAACAATACTGATTTTATCAACATATCAGATGCCAGATAGGCGTGTAGAAAGATATGAGGACTGCCAATGGCAGCCAAAGACAGGCACAAGGAGGCGAAGACTATTTGCTCTGTCAGTAAAGATCTTACCTTTGATTTTCCGCCATCACTCCATTCTCTGATCTCCCTGCAACAGAAGGTGTTAGGGACCCAGACCTGTCCGCCTTGGCTCCTTCCTTTGTGGAGCCACTTTTGCCGTTCTTGCCAGCTGCAATATCCCTGGAGCCCTTTTTGCGCCAGCAGCAGAAAAACAGAGTTGCCATGATAACAACGACAATGGTGGAGATGGTGGCGGTGGTAAGCGTGTAGATCTCCAGCATTACCGGCTACGGTGACGACTGCAAGATCGTTTCTCCCTGTTCGGACATATCAGTTGGCACCATGGAGGTAGCTGGCTAGAGTCTGTTTCTAGCAGATCGGCAGCGTGGACATGCAAGTTCAGAGGGTGGGGCACAGATGAGCAGAACTGGACACTCGATGCATGCAAAGAAAACAGTACTTGTACCGTCTGTCTATCAAACGACTACACTTAGTCGCATTTTAGAACTCGCACTGAATCCTGAAAATATCAAATATCAAAAATACATAGAACTCATTGTATACATCAATAATATATCATCATCACCATCATGTGCGATGCCACCATGTGCGTCTCCACAGATCACGATCCCTGATTGCCTGGTACAGCTCTTGATTATATCCCTCCATACCATCGTTTCAGACCATCCAGTATCATCTCTCTTGGTCTGCCTCTATCCCTTTTTCCACTATCTTTCCGGTTGTCACGATGTTCTCCAATGTTTCTCTTGTCATTATGTGACCAAAGAACAGTGTTTGTCTCTCTCTTATTGTTGTATATAGAGATCTATTTTCATTAGCTTCTTTCAAACAATCGTTGTTAGTTACTCTGGTCGCATAAAGTATTCGTAACATTCTTCTCAGAAACCACATCTCTGTTGCTTCCAAAATCGTCCTAATTCGTTCACTGACATTCCAAGATTCGCTGCCATACAGCAGAGCGGGTTCTATGTAACATTTTAGAACACTCTTTCTGACATTATATATCAACAAATAGTTAGTAAAGATTAGCTGGCTTGTTTGCAAAGTTAATGGTTTGAGCTCAATCCTCAGCAGAGACAGAATAACCCAAGCCCCCTCTGTCTGTTAGTATTTAGGATCTTAAGTATGATAGGAAAGATCTTAACTCTTTGAGTCCTAGGAGGTTTAGCGTCAGAGGCCCAAGGGGTAGTCGAGAGAAATGTAAAATCGGCGCTTCTTGCGTTCATTGGGCTTCTAGGTAGGAATCTATGAACGTGTGACGCGTTCTTTGGGACTCAAGGAGTTAAGAAAGATCATTAGTATCTTTTCTCTGGAAATAAAGGTGTGTTGGGAAACGAACAGGCAAGACAGATTGGCTGGTGCTGCACCACTGGGTGGTGACTTGATGCATGACAAGCGAGATGTGGTCATGAACATGGGAAGCAAGTTAACTACATGGAAAATAAATCCGATTTATGACATGGCCACAATGGCGCAGCAGGAAGTGACCAGTGGTTTACAGCCGGTGAAGGCGAAGATGAAAAAAGTTTGAAAACTGGGCTTGGTCAACATTTGTAAAGGAAACGAAACTGCCACACAAACGGAAACCGGTATTCAGTGAAGTACTTGTAGTCTGACGCTGCTGTCTATGTCTACTTTAGCAGTAGTGGTCGGTTATACGCTGACAGTTGAGCACAGCTAACTTTAAGTGTTTTACCGGAGATGGGCAGTTCTTACAGTTACAGTCTGGAGGAGTGTTTGGGGAGAGAATCACAGACATACATGCATACATACACAAACACAAATGCACTTACATAGATAGGAAGAGAGAGAGAGAGAGAGAGAGAGAGAGAGAGAGAGAGAGAGAGAGAGAGGAATCGAGTGAGGAAGAAAGAAAGACAGAGACGGATACAAGAACACAATATTTGTTCTGATGGTAAAGATATCTAAGAGATTTCCTATGTTTGCTTAGTCGGTTTTCAATTACTGCAGGTGGCTCGTGAAATTAATTACACATTGTCCCCAAATGTGAAACAAAGAAGGTAGGCAGGCGAAGGCGCTATTGCTATGAACAAAGCACTGACATGAGTAGAGAGAAAGTAGAGAGAAGGAGAGAGAGAGAGAGAGAGAGAGATAGAGAGATAGAGAGAGAGAGAGAGAGAGAGAGAGAGAGAGAGAGAGAAAACGAAGCAGAGAAAGCGACAGAGACATACAATGAAAAAGAAAGAAAAAAGAAGGGCTAGACAAGGAGAAACAGCGAGAAAGGGGAAGAGAAACGAGTATGGGAAAGATAATTAAGCGAGCCGGGAGGGAGGGTAAGAGAAAGAAAGAGAGAGAGAGAGAGAGAGAGAGAGAGAGAGAGAGAGAGAGAGAGAGAGACAGAGACAGAGACAGACAGACAGACAGACAGACAGACAGACAGACAGACAGACAGACAGACCACATATTACCGACGCAATCAGTGAAAACAGAGTAATTCTAATTAAGGAACTATGTTGTAAAGGTCAGTAAGGAGAGTTTGATCTTGGCGTAGTCTACCTTTCTCTCCCCCCCCCCCCCCCACACACACACACACAAACACACATAATTCCTAACATCTGTGCTCTGTGGTCTTTCATAATTATTCTTTTTTTACTTTTTCACTGTTTCTACACCCTTCTTAAAGTTCTGTGAAAATTTCATTTTATAAAAACATTTCCCAAAACTTTGTATGGCGTGATTTACGAACGTGCACTTCAAATAAAAAGCGTGAGAAACATAACGACAGCTGTATCCACTCCGATCTGACAGAAAACATTTCGATTTGAAATTCTTTGTGCAGCAACTATTTCCTCACCTTAAACCATGACAACAGACGTCGGAAGCCGAGATTAAAGCACCGACACGGGAGAGGAAGATGCAGACAAACAAAAGCCAGATTGATCTCAACAAATTGCTTCTTTGAAGCTTAAAAACCCGCCAATTATAATTATTCCTGCACGATCTGCAGACAGCATCTTTCCTTGTAACTCGAACAAAACCGTAGCTCAACCCATTTGTGTTATAAGGTCCAGAGCAAGAACTTCATCGCATCTGGTTTTTATCCCGTATGCTTTCGTATCTTTCGCAAAATGGCTAACCGCCTACTGATAAAGTCACATAAAGCACGAACTCCGCATCTCCAGCAGCGACCCTCAGAAATATCCATAAACCGAATGACTATAACCCCCCCCCCCCCTCCCTTTTAGCCAAGAAAATGTCGGCTCTACTGGCAAATCCGGACGAAGAATAAAAAGCCTTGGACGACTTAGTCAGAGTTCTCTCCCTTGGCCGCACTCCAAACAGTGATCGGAAAACAAACGAAACAAACGACACACTTAGCTATCATCCTGCGGATTCGTGTAGGGCTGCGTACGGTTGCGTCAGGCATCGTGGCATCATCATATGGTTGCGTGCAGGGTTGCGTACGGGTGCGTGAGGCATTGTGAATGGTTGTGTAGTCATCATCATGCGGTTGTTGGAATAGAGTTAGGGGTAGGGTTAGGGTTAGGGTTAGGGGTAGGGTTAGGGTTAGGGGTAGGGTTAGGGGTGGGGTTAGGGTTAGAAGTAGGGTTAGGGTTAGGGGTAGGGTTAGGGGTAGGGTTAGGGTTAGGGGGTTGGGTTAGGGTTAGGGTTAGGGGTAGGGTTAGGGGTAGGGTTAGGGGTAGGGTTAGGGGTAGGGTTAGGGGTAGGGTTAGGGTTAGATGTGAAAATTTTGACGTAGGATTTAGAAATACTGGCCGACAATATGATGTTTGTGGGAGTGGCGCCACTGAAACTCTGCCAAATATGACGCCAATAGCGTTCGGCTGGTGCTCCCCAATCGTTGGCGAATTGTGCGTTTGACCAGCATCCAGAGGCCCTCGATTGTTTGTGTGTGTGTATGGGACTGTGCGCGATTATAGTGAACTCCGCCGTCAAAATTGTCAAATCTAACGCTAAACCCTAACCCTACCGCTAACCCTAATCCTACTCCCTAACCCTAACCCCTACCCCCTAACCACGCAAATTTATCGATCATTAAAGCATACAAATCGGCAAACACCAACAAACAAAACACACCCACAAAAACACCCAGAATTGTCCTGCAGCGTCGAAAAAAAACCCAGATCTGGGGGAAACAACCAAGCATTGGCAGCCCTGATGTCGACGTGACTGTCTTCTTTGTTTCGTTGTGGCTTTTCCGAACACTGTTTGGAGTGTGGCCACGGGAGAGAACTCTGACTAAGTCGTCCAAAGCTGTTTATTCTTCGTCTGGATTTGCCAGTAGAGCCAAAATGTCTATTACCCCCTATTAGTTTCACTGTGTCGGCGAGCCTGGTGTAGACATGCAAAACAAAATATCGTATTTCACAAAAACAATAATCGAAACAGCGACTCTAAGAGAGTACGAATGAAAAGACAGCCGCTGACAGAAATTAGCAGACAAGTTAAATACAAGGTCCGACAATGAAGTGATAAGACTGATTTTATTATGGCCAAGACAAAAATGCCATCTGTGAAGCAAAGCATGGTATCTAAAGAGGCAACATTCATCTATGATCTAGCAACTTTTCATCGCCGTTCGACAAGCAGGCAAAAACAAGCCGCAATTTTGTTGACCTAGTCAGAGGTATATTGTTACGTAATCAGCATGGAGCAAAAAGCTAATATTAAATTCTTTTAAAAACTCAGAAAAAGCGCCATTGAAACAGTTCAACTTTTGCAACAAGTTTATAGGGATAATTGTTTATCTGGTGCATAAATTTTCAGGTGGTATTCACGATTCAAAGGTGGTATGGAAATGATTACTAATGCATTTAGAACTGGACGCCAAATTTCTGTTCGTAATGATGAACTCATTGCAAAAGTCAGAGAACGGATAAAAGGAGATCATTGTTTTAATGTGAGGATGGTGGCAGGTGAATCTGGTGTTAATAGAGAAACAATTCATAACATTTTAGTGCAAGAATTTGGCAAGAAAAGAGTTGCTTGCCGGTTTGTACCACATTCGTTGTCTGATGACCAAAAACATCAGCGGTTTTAGTACCCAAGAGACATTATCAAAACAAGAATTTTTGGCCCCAAAACAAGTGTGTGTTCTCAGCCTTCCACCCTATTCCCCAGATTTGTCTCCCCGTGATTATTTTATATTCTCAAAATTAAAGTTACAATTGAAAGGACGCTTCTTTAACGATATTGATGACATTCAAAGGGCCGTAACATCGACTTTAAAGGTCATAAAAAAAGCACTACACAGGTCGTTCCAGTGTTTGTTAGATAG